ATAAAAACGTTGATATTGCCGAGATTTATTATTATTAAAAAAAGCATAATTAAATTCACTTATATATGACAAATACCTTAAATAAAATTTAACTGCATTAAAAAAGCAAGAAATCCAAATAATACTAAATAAAAATTTTTTTTTTTAAAAAAAAGGCATAAATTGTTACCGATACCAAAAAAAAAAAAAAAAAAGCCTTTTTTAACTTTTTTTTCTTCCGTAGATACGATACGTTTGTATATAAGTTTGATAATCATTAACTTCTTTTTCAGATTCACTTAATAAATTATCAAATTGTTCGTTTGTAATATTCATAAAAGGTGCTAGAAATGCTTTAAATCCGTTAAATGTCATTATGAAATTTAGCATTGTCTTCAATAGAAAAAAAAAGGGTTAAGTGAAATTTAAAAGAAAATGAAAAGAAAAAAGAAAAAAAAATATATATATATGTATTATTACTTATAACAAAAGAAAACTTACAATTTCACCGATTCGACCACTCCATTTCCCCATTGGAGTGCATTTTTCTTCATATTGAATGTTTGTGATACTTTCGTTACCTTCTAATAAATTTCTAATATCATTGCTAGAAGGCACTTTAATATTATCCGATTCGTGAAATTTTATCACTAAAAAAATTGCAAAAAAAAAAAAAAATCAATAATAATTAATAACTAAATAATACATGGAATAAAATAAATTAATAAATAATTATTTACATGCATCAACTAAATCTTTGGTAATTTTACCACAATTTTTTAAAGAATAAGTATAATCCATTATTTCAATCCATCCGTTACTTTTAGTAATTCGAACAATTTCATTGATTAACTTAAATGTGTCTTTCTGAGTAAGTGATAATGCCATAAATCTTTTATATACAAAATTAATAGTGTTCGGAGGCCAAGGCAATCCTTCAGTTTCTAAAATGTTATGTTGTAAAAATATTGCATTCGAAGGAATTTGATTAGGTGAAGGAAATGTTGGAGAGATATCAATTCCGACGAAAGAAGACAGAGGATATTTTTGTGCCATATCAAGAAGCCAAAATCCAGGACCACACCCAATATCAAGCACACTTGTATTCCCTTCAGTTAATTCTTTTGTCATGGGAGAAGAGAAATTTCCTTTCCATACATGACGATATAAATAATGTTGCATATTTAATCTATCCGATTCTTGAGAATCATTTGGTAAATAATAATTTATCGTACTTTTTTCATTATGAAATCTACGTCCATTTATAAATCTAAATGGATCCATGAATGACAAATCTTCTTGTAAATTTTCAAAACTATCTTTGTGAGGAGATGTAGTTGATTGGGAGGGTGATGACATGTTATGATAATGTGGGTAGGATAATTTATATAATATAAAAACGTTGAATAAA